GTGGAACCATTTCCACATAATTATATGTTTTTATACTTCTTTTAGAATTAAACATTTATTCTTTACTCACAAATTTATAAAAAATTTATTAAAACTTTTATTATAAATATTTTAACACTGCTAAACGTTAGAAAATATATTAAACTTAATATAATTAATAATATCAAAATTATAAAAATGTACATCATTTAATATATTCAAAAAAAAAACTTTTTACCTTTTATCTTAAAAATCCTATTTATTTATAATATAGTTGCATTGTGTCCCAGTTTATATTGAAGGCTAAGGCACCACATTTTGTAGACTCCTTTACTTCTATTTCTAGTAGACTATTTTATTTTTATTTCTAGTAGACTCTTTTATTTTTATTTCTCGTGGACTCTTTTGAAAAAATTATAATAAAAATTATTTTATAAAAAAAATTTATTAAAATTCATCAATTACGCGAAAAAATTGACTAAAATTAATATATTCAAAAATAAATGATCTAGTTTTCCTCTTTTTCATATAATAATAAATTACTACTTACTTCATAACGTTGTGATCCGAGTATGCCTTTAATAATGGCTTATTCCCATTTTTTTTCTTTATTATTGTAAAGGCGCGACTAAACTTTTTCATTTATCTGAAATTTTCGATTGTGGTATTCAAACTTCTCCTTTTTGTTTCCCCGTTAGAAAATTTGATCTAACAATCCTCTAGGTTTAAATTTTAGTAGTATTTCAGCGAGACTTTGTTCAGTTTTTGTTCCTGGTGTATATCTGTTATTGTAGAGAAAAATAGCTAGGCTGGTTTCTAAATCCCTCTCGTTTCTTTTATTCATACTCTGTTTAAAAGTTCGAACTAAACGTTCGGCCATGCTGTTTGTCTGAGGATGGTAAGGACTTCCGTGCACTAATTGATTTCCGTTTTTTTTACAAAAATCATTGAAATCTTTGCTGCTGAATTGGGATCCGTTATCATAAACGATTATTTTGGGAAATCCGAATCTTGCAAAAATATTTCTTAATACTTTTATCATGCTTTCGGTTGTAGTGCTAGTCATGGGAACTATTTCTGGCCAGCGACTGCTAGCATATATCACTACCAACCAATAATGATTTTGAAATGGTCCAGCATAATCAATATGTACTCGGTGCCATGCTTTTGGTGGTTTTGGCCAATTTTGAATTGCTGTCTTTTGAGGCATATCGTGTTGTTCCTGGCATTCTCTAGATTTTTCAACCCAGGTTTCTATATCTTGGCTTATATTAGGCCACCACGCGTTTTGTCGTGCTCTCATCTTCATTTTTATAATTCCGATATGTCCTTGATGTATCATGTCCAACACATTGTTTCGGGATTGTTGTGGTATTATCATTTTCGTTCTCCATAATAAACAACCTCTCTCAGTTGTAATTTCCTCTCTCCTTTGGCTATACTCCTTTAAATGCATCATAGTTTATTGGCCATCCATCTATTGTATATCTGTATACTTTAGAAAGTATATCATGTCGCATTGTTTCTCTTTCAATTTCGCTTGCATTTAAAGGTGTTTCTCCAACATGTATTTGATCTAGCACTTCTTCTTTTGATATTGGAGTTCCCTTTAGGGGTAATCTAGATAGCATGTCAGCATTTGCTATTTGCCTACTACTTTTGACTTCTATTTCATATTGATAATTGGCTAATAATAAAGCCCACCTTTGTATTCGGGCAGTTGATGTTGTGGGTATATCTTTTTTTGGATGAAATAAAACCATTAATGGCTTGTGATCTGTTTGTAATGTGAATCCATATATAAATTCTTTGAATTTATAACCCCGAATATGATGGCAAGTGCTTCTCTTTCAATTTAGCTATAATTTTTTTCAGCTGCATTTAGTGCTCTTGAAACGAATGCAATTGGTCTCTCCTTACCCCCTTCTATATGTGATATTACTGCCCCAATTCCTATAGATGATGCATCTGTTGCTAATATATTGGGTAATTTTGGATCATAATGTTGTAATATTGGAGTACTACTTATTTTTTGCTTTATTTTTTTATACGCATCTTTGCATTCATTATTCCATTTCCAAAAAACTGCTTTTTCTAATAATTTGTATAATGGTTTAGCTTTGGCTGCAAAATTCAAAATAAATTTTGAATAGTATGTTGCTGACCCTAGAAATGACTGTAATTTTTGTTGGTTCTGGTGCATTTTTTACTGCCTCAGATTTTTTTCGGTAGTTGTAATTCCGTTTTTTGAAATATTGTGTCCTAAGTATTCGACATTTTGTTTGAAAAATTTACATTTTTCTATTTTTAGCTTGATTCCATTTTCATCTAAACATTTTAGTACCCTTTTTTAAATTTGTTTCGTGTTTCTCTCTATTTTTCCCGGTTATTATAATATCATCTAAATAACAAGCTATTCCTTAATAACCTTTTAATAAATTCTCGATGGCTCGTTGAAATATTGCTGGAGAAGACGATATACCAAAAGGTAGTCTTGTATATTTAAATAATACTCTATGCGTATTGATTACAAGATATCTTTGAGACTCTTCTTGCACTTTAATTTGAAAATAGGCATCTGAGAGATCCAATATTGAAAATTCTTCTCCTTTTCCCAAATTGGCTAATAAATCTTGGATTCTTGGTATTGGTTATGAATCAATATTAATATTTTGATTTATAGTTCTTTTAAAATCCCCACAAATTCTTAATGTTTTATCTTTCTTTTGAACTCTAGTACTCCTATTTTTGCAATCCATCTAAATCTTCTTCAACTTTATCTTTTAATGCGTATAGTACGGGACGTGATTTACAGAAAATTGGTTTCTCGTTTTTCATATATATTTGTGCCTTATAATCTTTCAAGCAGCCTAATTCTTTGGTAAATAATTGAGGAAATTCATTTTGATATTAATATTATATATTTGTATGATCCTTTCAGGTAATTCAGTATTTTGGGAAATTTAATTATCCAATTTCTTCCAATTAGATTTTTGGTATATCCTTTTGTAATAATGAGAGGTAGTTCTAATGTTCGCCCTTTATATTGTACTTTTACTACAGTTTGACCTAATAGTGGTATATTGGTTCCTGTATAACTTTTAAGTTTTAGCATGCAATTTGTTAATTCAGGATGATTAAGTTTATTTTTCCAATCTATTTCGTTAATTATACTGACTCCAGCTCCTTATATCGCTGTTGTTTATTTTGACATCCACCCAAAATTCTGGATTATATTCGTTTGTTTTATTATTAATAAAATTCACTATTTCTTTTCTACAGACTCGAGCCCAATTTTGTTGCATTTATAACAAGTGACATTTTTGAAAAAACAAATTTCCCTTCTGTGGTTTCCGCCGCAGGAGTGGCATGGATTTGGTTTTTTGTAGCTCGCATTATAATTATTATATGATTTTAATTGTTTATCATTATCATTAGTATTATATGATTTTGTTTGTTTATCATCATCATTATTAACTTTTCTAATTTTATTTATATTATCATTATGTTCCTCTTCTAAATGATCGATTTTAGTTTCATCATTTTGTATTAATTTTGTATTTTTTATTGCTGTTTCTACTGCAGTAGCTATCTGAATAGCTTTATTTATGTCTATATCGTCTTCGGACAGTAATCTTTGTAAAATTTTTGGATTTTTTATTCCGAATATAAATTTATCTCTTAATGCAGTATTTAAATATTCCCCAAAATCACAAGTCGTTGCTAATTTTCTTAGATTTTGTATATAGTCTATTAGTTTTGCATCATTTTGTTGATTATATTGATAAAAATTATATCTCTTTACTATAATAGGTTTAGGATGAAAATGCTTTTAAAATATTATGTATTTCTAATACCTTTTTCTTTCCCGGACTATCAGGTGCACATAAATTTACCAGTATTTTGTACGTATCACACCCTATTGTTGTTAATAACAGAGATTTTTCTTGTGATGATGTTAAACTTGGTTGTGTGTTTTTAAATTCTTGAAATAAGTTGTACCAATCTTTGTAACACAGGTTTGAATCCGTTAGACTTTTAATAGATTGCGCCATTTATGTAATGTATTTTAACAGAAACGAGTTTTTCTTATACTTTTATTTTGTAATGTAAAAAATCAAAATCAGCCTTTATTATTCAAATTAATCTAAAAATATATAATAATAATAAAAATAAACATCATACAAAAAATAACAAAAAACAACAATTTAATACACATCACTTTCATTTTAAGATAAAAATTTAATTGAAAACAGATCACAAACCTTTGAAAAAATATTTGATGACTAAGATAATACCAAAAATATCCAATAGCGATTAAAGGGCTGGGCATGGAAAATGTTATATGATTTTAAAATTGAATAGTCAAGGAAAGAAAACATAACGGCTGATACATTATTAAGACTTCCAGTAACTATTGAGTCACACATGCATTAAAATTAGAGCTATAAATTTATTTGATATAAATTTTGGTCAAGTTGAACTCCAGAAAGAAACAAGGAAAGAAAAAGTAATTAAAAAAATCGAGAAAGGATGAATTGGGTTTGATGCTAAAAATGTTTGTTTTAATAATCGCTTACCCTATTTCATCGTAAGATTTAATAGATAACTCACCCCTTAAAAAATGGATGCAAACTATACCTACACCCCCTTCATAACACCGGCCATGCAAACGCTGTGCTGTTACTATATAGTTTAAGGTTCTATCTTTTTAAAATATAAATAGGATAAATAATAGTTAATATTTTGAAATATTTATAAATATTTTTTGAATGTTAGTTTCAAATTCATCTAAATTACATTTGGATATAATTACAAAAATAATATATTAAATATTTTAGTTGGTTTGATCTAATTAATGAAATGCGATTCTTTTTAAGCCAGATTTTTAGTGTTATTATGCCAATCAAATGATTTTTAGTGTTATTATACCATTCATAAAGGACCACGTGAATAAATTAAAATTTAAAAATAATCCGCTTAATTTTAATATAAAATAAAAAGTGACATACAAACGTTATAAATTTGATATAGGTTATCATGTGTCCTATCAATGTGTGAGATTTGACTGGTAACGTGATCTCTGATAAGTCGTCTCATTTTGGAAAACGCAGTATATTTCATTAATTTAACTTAGAATGAATAACGCCGAAATTTCGTTTTTGGTAATTTTTTTTATTAAATTAGTTTGATATATATTAATGTTCAGCCCATACATTATCTAAAAGAAAATTTATCAAATCCTAATATTGCACAGAACGATGAATTTATTGATTTAGATGTTTTTCTTAAAATTATGGTATTTATTTTAGATATAAATCTAACTTATATAATTAAAGGCACATTCTGTTAAAAACATTCGTTTATTTTTAAAATTACTGATTGAAAATGACCCTAAAGCAATAAATTTAGAAAGATTCTCAAAATATCAAATTAAAGACTGGATTTTGAAAAAATATACTCTTAAGTAATATATATATGCTTAAATAGGATAAATATATAATTTCAGTAAATTTATTAATATATAATGTTGTTAAATACTCATTTGAACCAATTTTTAAAAACCACTATATTTTTTTCCAGAAAAAATTGTTTGCCTCAAGATTTTTCTAATAGATGTCCAAACCTCAAGATTTTTCTAAAGATGTCCAAACCCCTCTGGCATGCATCTATGAGCACTATATTTAGGCTTGTATAAAATATTTCTAAAAAATAAATATTGAGTTACCCATTTTTAAAAATCATCTAAAATTAAGCCATTTAACAACTAATGTATTCAAGCTATTTCAATTCATATTTGCAAAATTATATTTCATTAGAAAATTTATTAGCTTATATTTTTTTCCAAAATTATATATTCTGGTTCTCCCTCTTAGGGTTTTAAAAAAGTCTGATTCTTCTTTTTTTTTTTTAAATGATCATATTAAGATTTACAAAATAATATTATGTAAGTCTGGAGATTTTGCTTATAGGTGGCAGAAAGGGTTGATCCTACATTTGATATATAAATTTGTTAATTGAAAAAAATAGCAGATTTTGCAGGACATTTGATTTTATGTGCTTACTATCTGATGAGCCAAGGCAGTTTGGAAATCAATGCTTCTCAAAATATTATTGTGCAATCTAAAATGTTTGATTTTCTAACTCTAAAATAATTAAAAATTATTTATTAATTTTAAAAATTTTCTGAAAGTGCCATCATCACATCTATATATTTAAATTTGTAATTGCTATCTTATAAACCAAGCAATAGATTGAAGTACAAATCACATGGGAATTACTATTGGCTTAAAAGTGCTATGATGATTATCATTAACTAATATTTTTTAAAAGAACACTATTGGTTAAATTTGATTGACGTTTTTGAGGATTATTATAATATACTTTTTTTATTTATTATTAATATAAAACAATAATATCAATATGTTAATATACTATTAAATTTATAAAGCAAGGGAAAAAAATAAGAAGTAGAAGGGTTTTAGTATAGCTCTTTGGCTAGTAGACTATCATTGAAGCTGATGTAATTCGCTTTAAGGATAACTATAGCCAATCTTTGTCTAAGAGAAAATTCCTCTCGAGGGGTTCATGAGTTTGCTGATTTGTGATCCTAAATTTTTGAAGAATGCTAGGGCAAGTTTGCTAAAGATGGCAAGTGTAGTTGAAATAATAGGAATAGGAATAAAACAATGATCATTTGAAATTTCTGTGTATTTGGAGATTTTGAATTGTTCTTTCTGGTCAATGATGATGGCTTGGTTAGATGGGGCCAGGGTATAGATGAATAGTCCCATTCTAATAATTGGCCTCTCCTTTGAGTGATCCCCCGAGTACGCTTACCATCTGATCTAAAAAGAACCTGGGGTTCTAGTATGGATGGTATTTGAGTTGATTTCAAGGCATGTTGGATGATTGAATTACATTGTGTATTTCTTATGAATCGACCATTGCAGGAGTGGCAATGTAAACTATGGCTTCCATTCATGTCAATGGACGAGTTATAACCTGAACAGATATGAGGGTGGGTGATGGTGCAGTTTAGACCAATACCGATGGCGTGAGTAAGTTCGTTGCAGGAAAGTTGAAGTTGAAGATTGACAGAAGGAATGGCCTCGAGAAACTCATGCCCAGTAGATAAGAGTTTTTCAACGCAGCAAGCAACTACAAGAGCGTCCCAGTCCTTCTGTCTACGGGTTGTGGGAGGGGGGGGGGTGAGAGTCAACATTGATCAGTGTTTTCCAAATATTTATGGCCTCAATTAAGGAATAGTCTTCTTTAGAACGATGGACGTTGGTTATTTGCTTTGACAAGAGGCTTCTCAATATGAAAGAGGTTATTGCTAAGTCGTAGGGAGATCTAATGCCAAGTCTATTGAATTTGGTTGGTAGCAAAGCTTGGGCCCAAGCGGTTTTGTTGAATCTGAGGTTTACTATTTTTTTGGTTAAAAGGATATTTAAAAATCGGTGTTGAACGGAGTGTATAAAGAATCCTTGGTATAAAAAAGAAATTTTTTAACAAGAAAAATGACTTGTGAGAAGGAAGAATAGTAAAGGTGTCCTCCAGTTTAAGGATGCTATCAAGAGTGGAGTGAAGAAAGGTGCCCCCATGTCCTCCTACAATAGATCCTAGATGTGTTAATTCATCAAGTGCTGTGAATTTGAAGTCATAAGTGTTAGGAGCATTTGAATTTAATTGGAAGAATTTGGATTTTCTCAGGTTACGCAAGAGTCCAGTAGCTATGCCCATTTCGTGAATTATGTTAACTGCTTTGTCAATTTCACAGCGGGAACAACTCAAAATTCCATCATCGATGTACCACGCATGATAGTACATAAAGAGTTTATTGATTTTATTATGGCATTCAAGACTAAAAAGAAGGTATCCAAAGGGGTCTCCCCGTTAAATGCTCTCAACTGAAAGTATTTTTTTCGTGTTGAATTGTAAGATTGTTGGAATGGTAGAGAGGAAAAGAATTTGGCGTAAACAGGAAACAAGTTGAATGTAGGAAGGAGTTGCGAGAAAGAGTGTTGTATGCGTGTCGATTTTCTCTAAAGTTTCGTTTGCTGGGTTATTTTCGAGATGAATTCTTATTAAGTGTATTGCTGCTTCACGCCCACCAGGCACGCCTACGCCCAATTGGTAAGGGTTGAGGATGTGTGAGGCTTTGTGTTTGATTCTAGAAGAATAACTTTGCTACTAATCAGCGACAAGTTGAACCAATGGCGATAGGCTGGATATCCTTGTTGGGTTTTTGGAGTGCGATGAGTCTGGCACCAAAGAGTAAGGGGGTTATAAAACTGTGGACATCTCCATTTAAGATTTTATTGCATAAGTTGGTAATTTTGGTGAGAATTGAAACATGTGTGTAAATCAAGGGAGTTGTGATGTCCTGTTAGAAGATTGGTCTAATTCCGTCAAGTCCATGCTCTGAGTCGCGATGAAAAGATAAGATTACTTTTCTTACTTCTTCCTGTGTGAAATCTGCTGCACAATGCGTGTTAGGTTGAGAAATTATTGGTGTTAGGATTGAATTTGTGTGTTTTCAGCATAGCTTGCTGAAGGTTTCTTCGGAGAAATCAGCAAGAGTATTATTGGTGAAAATAAGTTTGAGAGCACCTTTAATGTTAAGACTGTCTATTTTCTTCGAGATCAATAAAATTTTTTGCTGAAATGGGGTTGCTTTTTTTTGTTTTTTGGATGTGCATAGATTTGGGTATCTTGAAGACGGGTATAGATATTTAAACTGGCATCCTTTATTTGTTGAGTTAAGGATTTCTGGACTTATTTGTCCAGTATTTTAAAAGTGTTGTAACTGAAGTAAAAGAATTTTAACCATTTTCTTCTTTGTTAAAATTTTGCAGAAGGGAGGATATGCAGTCACTGAGAGATTTGGCAACTTCTCGCTCCTTTGGGTATTCTGGATATGATACTTGATTTTGTGGTATTGAGAAAATTGTCTGCGAAAGAGGTATTAGATGTGTGGTTTGGGATTCTTGGACTGGGAAGTAAATAAGCGATCTGGGAAAGAGATGTATGTCTTGAATGAGGACACCTGTTAGTAATTGGACCATGAACATAAAATACACCTTCATTTGTTAGATGTTTAAGTTTCAGCCCGGAAGAGCAGATTTTGGGTTCAAAGGAGGTAGCCGTTGTATAATATCATAATGAGATTGAACATTTATTGCTCACCTGTTTCTCCATAACATTTTGATGAATCTATCATTATAATCTTTGGTTTATATTTAAGCAATTTAAGTTGTCATTAACTTTTGTGATAAGTCTTGTAATAAAATTTTAAATTAGGTTTCTAGATTTATTGGGTAGATTGTCAAGGTGGGTCTCTTTTTCCATTCAAAAAATCTTTTAAGAAAATCTGTTAATCTGAGAAGCATGGGGCTCAGTAATATTTAATAAAGGTTTGAATATTGTTATAATTTTATTAATTGGAGATTTTTGAGAGGAAGGACACGTTATATGTTTGTATAAAAGATTGGCCATTGTCACTTAGATTAATTTTGCACAAATATTACAAATAGTTGACATTATTTTTATGTTTATGGGTAGGTGTAATGTGAAAGTGATACACTAAAGAGAGGTGGAGCCAGTAATTTAGATCCTGCATATTAAGACAATTATGGGCCAAGGAGACTAATATAATTATCACAGTTTTCAGCAAGAAAATAATTAATTGTTTTATGTAGATGATAAAAAATAAAATATAAAAATTTATTATTAATGGTTTCACTTTTTTATATATCTCACTTGAGTAGAGGATATACTTCAAACGGATATCCTACTTTGGTGGAAAAAACAAGAAAAAGATTTATTAAAAAAATTACCTAGCAAATATTATTCCAACAACCAGTGCTTCTTTTGAACTAGGAATTAGCATTGCAAGGTTTTTGGAACAAAAAAGAACGTGCTTGAATCCAGAAAATGTGGATCCATTAATATTTTTGTATTATAATTAGAAATATTATCAATAAATAATAATTTTATATTTGTATTTTTTACTTATATATTTTATTAGATCAAATAAATTCCTTATCCGTAATTTAAATTGAATATTTTTTTATGCTTAATAGAGCAAAGTCCTAAATTATAATAATTTTTTATAGGCGTGTAGCGCTGAAACTGAATCATTTTTTTTAAAATTAGATTTTAAAAAATTGAAAGAACGAGCAAATTTTAATCTATGGGCACCTTAGATTAAAATTTTTTTTTATATTTAATGGACCGACGGGTAAAAAATTTTAAACGGACGGGTAGCGTATTTTAGACTAATGAGCTGGCCGCAGGTTTTTTTTAAACTGGGCAGGTTAAATTTTTTTGAAAATATTGGATGGGCGGGCTTGTGAACTAAAAACCCCCGCTCATTGCAGGCCTCTACCCTGAACATTACATTAAAATCCTGATTCAAAGTTCTGGTTCATTTAAATATCAGGGTTCGGGTTCACAGCCCTG